CAATTACCTTTTGCTTTGCAGTTGACTGAAGGGTCTTTAAGTGCTCTCTTTGCAATTAGCTTGAGCAACAAAGGGTAGCAAACAGAACCTCAGCTGTGAGGTGCAAATACTGTAATTGCCCCTTTTCAGTCTATGTTAATTGAGCCACAGAGCTAAAAGCATATGCCATTCATATTGCCTTCTAGGTGAAGATTGGAAAAAACTGTTGTGAAAGGGAATCTTGCTTGGTTTAAGTTGCACCGTGTCTGGAGCTGCCTGCCATGTGTTGCTATTAGTCACTTAACTCTCACTCCCTGGCAGTCTGGAGCCAGCACTGTTGAGTAAGCCAACAACAGGGAATGCCGGAAGAGTGCCGTGGTCCAACCCTTTCCCTGACCAGCAAAGTGCATTACCTTGCATCTACATTGCATAGCCTTTCACGTCCTGGACCTTAGCTCCTGTTTATATTTCCACTTCAGAGTTAGGTCTTTCAATTTGGAGCCACTGATGATACTCTGGTCGCTTGGGGTGTTTTTGTTTTGTCTCTGTTGAATGTGGTATTTTTAAGTCTTCACATCTATGGTGTTTTCTTTTCCTGTGTTTTTAAGTATCATTTGTAAAGGCATGAAGCCTCACTTTCTTATGCTGGCAGTACTTGGCACTCTGCAAAACGATTGTTTAAGTTTGGAATTTGAGCAGTGCTTGAACTCAGGGTTTCTCAATGTGAATGATGAAGTTCATTTTAATGATGTACATACTGTAATGCTTTCTGTTTATCATGTGAGGAAGAACTGTAATGTATTTGAACAATAAGTGATGTTAGTTTATGCAATGCATATTGCTTTCATGATTGAAGGTTCATGTTGTATAAGTCTTTGCACCCTTGTTAATAACATGCAAAAGGTAAAAGCAAAAATTGGCAAGAGTTGAATAACTTCTAGGTGATATTTTGTCCAGATGAACAGTTGTTTTGAGGTGTAAGCATTTCTCAGTGGATACTGGGATGATGATCCACAACCTTTAGTCTGCCCACGTAAGTAAAGAGCTGCTTGACTGAAGGGCTGATAGGGGACTTGGATGGTTGGCATAGCTTCACATATTGTAAATCTATTTAGGAAGAATATTTGAACAATGAAGAAAACAACCATTGAAATTTTAAACCAATTTTACATCGTTGAACACAAACTGCTCCTCAAATGAAAACCAAATGTTTTATTCTGTAAAGACTATTGAAAGCCATAAGCAGGAGTTAGGATTTTGAATTACTATTACTAAAGATGCAACTATTGGTTGCATCTTTATAGCTTCTGAAACACATTTTCCCCCAATCAAACTTAAGATTACTGTGCTTCTATAGAACTATATTGTGAATGATAGCCAGCTTTTTTTTTTTTTTTGAAAAAAAAAAAGCTCATAATCACATGTAGTCTTTCTCAACAGCTTCCCCCAATGGCTTTTGCTATCCTGCTTTTGAAGAACTGCTCTATGTAGAACAGGTCTTTGCCCTTAAAAACCCCCTCCTAAAGAGCACTCATGCTAAAGTGAGCACCAATACTGTAATTTGGCAATTTTCCTTCAGTTTTAATTTGCAAGGTGGTGACAAAAATGGTGGAACAGCTAGAACCCTGATTGGGAATAATGAATGCCCATGAGCCTCTGGAATATGTAAGGTCACAAAAATGAATTATACTTTTGTACAGAATGTCTTCAGCTTTGTTGAGACACAAGCTAGTATGTCAGGTATCACTGCGGTTGAAGCTGTCACTCTTTTCTGAGCAAATGAACTGTGCGGTCATGAGTTTTATTAATGAGAAAACGATTAGCTCTCTTGTATTTTTTTCCTTCTCTCTCTTATGAAGAATATGCTGGATTTGGGGTTTAGATTGGTTAAGGGGGGCAGGGGGAGAATGTCGATAAGCTATACTTAACGTCTCCTTTCCTCCTTCTGGCTTGCTATACTTTCTGCCCTAACACCTTAGTTGTGCTTTGGCACAAGAGAGGGTACGTGGAGCCACTCACTACTAAACTTGACAGTCAAGATCAGTGACAGAGCAGCAGTAGCAAGGAAAGGTGTTTTTTGTTTTTTTTAAGTTAAGCATTAGGAATGGCTATAGGTTTGAGTTAAAGGGCTATTTGCAGGTTTGGAAACAGTTACTAGGCACTGTTTGATCAGCAGACATAAAAAAAAGAGCTTTCTTGTGTGAAACCACTCTATAAGAAATCTAGTCCATGGGTCTTTATCCTTGGGAACTGGTGTGATTAGAAGCTTTTCCTAGGCTCTGTCACATTTACCCAATGCTCCAGCTGAAAAAGGAAGTCTCTTCCCAGTATTGTGCATCTCTGAGGTTTGCCATATGGGATCTGACTACAAATTTATTTATTATGTAGTGACCAGAGTTGTATGGTCACTTTTTCTAAGTTTATTATTTTTTTCTTTTTTAAATCATGAGTTAAATTTTGTGCTCAAAGTACTAAATAGTTTGAGACTTGTAATGAAAATAGAATGGCTCATTCCGTTGTATTTTGCAGCCAGATAGTGTACTTTTTGATAGGTGTGCTGCAGACTTTGAAAGGTGTGAGTGTTTTGGTTTTGTTTGTTTTGGTTTTGGATCTTGTAGTCTACTCCTTTCCATGATCTATGCTGACTAAACCCAGGTTATTTTCCGCTCTCCCTCACCCTCCCCTTCCCCAGCGCACACACACACACACACTTTTTATTAGTCATTAAGTATTGCATTGTTCTTCTGTGGTAAAAATAATACAAGCATCCAAATGGGAGCCCGTCTGTGCTGTTTACTGCTGTGTATGTCTTTGTTCATGTTTCTGCTGAAAAAGAAACCAACTGCTTAGCTCCTTTCTCTTGGCTCTCTAGCATAAGTTCTCTTTTAACCCCTTCCAGCAGGTGCTCGAGGACTTTACCATGATGATTCTGTTTAATGTAGAAAGGCTTCATGGATATTGGGATCACACTAAAACTACATATTTCTATTCATTCAGGGTTTCTAAAACAGAAAAAAAGTGGATGTTGTATGATAGTTCAGAAGATGGTATGCTTTGGGACACTGTGGTCATCCCCTATTTCTGGGAATAGGAACAGGAGGACAATACCCAGTCATCTTTAATCTACTAGAGATTAAAAAGAATTAGACAGAACCTCTAGGTTGCATGCTTAACCCTTAAGTGGATACCTTCCTTCAAAGGAGCAGTGCGTTTACTGGGAAACAATGGTGCCAGCATGTGTATAATGTAGGGGAAAGGAGAGGATCACCATTTGGGAGGTTTTCAGTTAAATGTCTTCCAAATATTTGAAGTAAGTAGTCCAAGGAAGCTTGGACTTGGACTGCTTCCACGGAAGGAAGACAGTAATACAAATTTTAAATCAAATATCGTACACAGTGGTATTAGATGCCTGCCAGGAGCAGATCTGTGCACAAGGATTCCTTGCCTCCTCGGGATTGCTAAGGGGGTAGATGGAAGGTGGTAAGGGACTGGATATGTCTGCTTTTAAAATAAAATTGATTTATGCTAATCAAACGTGCATCTTGCACGCCTTGTCTGCCTTGGCCAGTGCCTCTCCTTTGTCCTTCCAGTTTGACGTTTTCTGCTGCAGCCAGCTCCTCTGGGCCGAGCTCTAGAGACGAGGCTGCCTGCTCACCCACCCTGCCTTTTCTTCCTTCACACGGTCCTTCCTTGGCTCCAGCGCTCAGCCTCTACTCTCCGTCCAGTGCCCATTCTGCTGGGTTTGTGCATTTTCCTCTCCTTATCCCATTTTGTAGTTTCACAACTCAGTCCAGCCTAATTCCTTCGACTCAGCTTGTTTTGGATGTCTGAAGTCCTGCACCACATGGGTGTCTAGTGATCCTAAGAGTGAGATGGAGGTATTGCAAAAAAACTCCCTCCACTGCATGTGAGCAGTGCAGAACCCCCAAACGCAGAGTAGGAAAGGGAAAATATCTACTAGGATGATACCTACTAGCAATACCAGAATGTGTATGGTTCCCATGGAAGTGCTGTGGGTCCCTCATGCTGTGTGTGCGGGGTAACACAGGGACTACGTGTGGCAAAGCCTGGCAACGTATGGCCTAGGCCTAACGTCACTTGGTGTGACAAATGGGAAGATGTGAATTGCTTAAAAAAATAATGCCCTAAAGGCTTTGCCCTACCAGCTTTGAGCAACACAGAGCTTTACATTTAGTAAGAGACCCCGAAATGCTTTTGGTGAGTGTTGTGTGGCATGTCTCGTATTTACCAGGACAAGCAGGAACAACGGAGCCCTCGCTGTGTTCGAGCTACTTATGAATCATTTTATTCTTTAGCGATACATGGCACATTAATTGTAGCTTGACAAAGGAAATTACTTATGAAACATTTGAGTAAACAATGAAAAT